CAGTCTCCCAAAGACCTCCTGTGTGCCCAGGTGTGAAACAGTCTCCACTCTTTCCATTCACCCTGATGGATATGCTGAGCCATTGGGGCTTCAGTGTACCAGTAATTTAGACTGTCCTGGCCTCCAAGACAGGAAAATGCCCTTGAAGCACCCAAGCTCATGAGCCTTGCCTGGGGAACGTGGTAGCTGATATGGAAGGCGTTCCAGCAGCTAAGCAGGACAGAGATGTCATTCCTGCACTGAGAAACACCAGAAACAGCCCAGTTTGCTGGCAGAGATGAAGCCTGATCCAAGCACACAGGCATCTCTGTTTTGGAGAAGGTACCACTGACAAACCTGGACCACACCACATTTCAGTCTGTGCAAACCCACTGTTGCTTTGTGCTCAGTGTGAGATGCTGGGAGTGGGGGGATGTCTTACAAGTACGAAAAAGCCAATATTTATGCAGAAAGTCAGAATTACTAAAGGTGTTCATAACTCAGCTGCACCAAAGTCCTTCTAAATTTTCTCATACCTGTCAAGTTTGCTAATCTGCGTGTAACTAATTAGTCAGCTTTAAGTTAGCTGCTCAAAGACAAATATTTCCAAAAATAGCACTTTGCTTTAAAAAGGTGAAGTTTATCCCAGAGACGAGCGGCCGCACAGACACCAAAGATACTGCACTATACCCAGACTCTCACTGCAAGTCTGACATAGCTGGGAACAGAATGTCCTAAACATTTTCTCTTACAACTTATAAGCAGTTTTATGACAGACTGTTCCCGAAATCCTGAAGACGCTGACGCAATTAAACCTACTGAGAATATTTTCCTATAACAAAATGGTGTCTCCATCCACATAACAGCAGGTGATTTTATTACAGTATTCAAAACAGACCGAGTTCTAGCATACCGCATTTTAAGCTCTAAGATACGTTACTGGATACTAGAGAATAAATCCCCACTGTATTTGGCAGGAGAGCTCCCTCTTTCCTGGTTGACATGTATTTATACAGTGGGTATACAAAAATAAATGCTATAGTACAAACCACTTACAATGAACTAAGCCAAACCAAGTTCTAAATACACATTAATTTCCCTGAAGTAGGAAGATTTATTATTTTTTTCCAGTGGACAGAGGTAGCAAATGGATTGGGAAGCAATGAGAAAGCTAACGGAAAGTCATCCTTGGGGTGGGAAGTTTTATTAAAGTTCGTAACACACGCTCACAGTAAAAGCTTTGTTTCTCCACCCATTCTTGACCCATCAGAGGTTTTCAGTTTGAACAAAAGCTTCCTAGCCTCTGACAACTTGGACAGCTGTCACCCTCTTCATGTAATTGGTCTCCACCTAACTATTGTACAGAAGTTGCCGAGACATCTATCAATAGACATGTACACATAACTCCAAGGATTTGCTTTTGCTACCACAGACTATTACACCAACCTATAGCAACCACAGTTTCTGGTAAGCATATGCAAGAACCAAGAAAATAAGTTTGTGAGGAAACAGCTGTTGCTGTATCCCAGGCCACAGAGTCCTCAGGCCACTTCTACTGCATTATTACTTCATTTTGAAGCGTTACAGCCTCTTTGCTTACAGAAATGACCAATGTATAAAACCTCACAACTGCATAATGTTTATTAGGAAATTTCCATGAAGATCCTTTTCCTCTCACCAACCAGAAGTTCAAATTGTTACTTGTATTTTGATTGCTTCAAGGCCAGTAGTTTTAGGAACAGAAGGAAACTCCCTTCAATGATCAGTCAATAATATGCTCATTTTTACATATAAACTTTTTTTTTTTGCACTTAAAGTTGCTCTCTTAAAATAAATGGGATCAATAAGTAAATGAATTTTGAGTGAAAACTCCACGTCAATGCACTCATTTACTGCAAGTACTTAACTCTGTTTTGTTCTCTTGTTCAAGACTAAACTTTTTTCTTATATACAAAGTAATACTGATTTAAAGAATGCGTATCCAGCATAATCCTCTTTAGTGATTATGTCATCAGGAAAGGATACACCATCCCTCTGGTGCATGCCCATGTACTCTGTTTCCAGGCTGACTCCTTAATGCGCTGGAAGCAAAGTGCCACAAAAAAGTTTGTACACTCAATATTATCTTTAACTCTCACATCAAGAGGCCACTTGGTAGCTTTCCTGCCTTTTGTTTGCGAGCCACAAAGCTGTCCTCTCCTTGTGGGAAGCCATACACACGTACAGGGAACATCTGGGTCATGAAAAACAGAGATTCCAGTGAAAGTGATCATTTCAGCTTTGACATCACTTTAGTTCATAGCTAGGTGATCATCTGCACGACTGGCTTTTCAAATAGGTCAAGCAGAGCTGAAGTAGGATCTTGACAAATGAAAGGCTCACCCTCTCTCCACAGCTCCCTTCCATTCCACCATCTGTGCACTACTTCCATTCACAGAAATTAGCCACCCGAGACTATTAGCAAAATGCCAACCTCGAACAGTACCTTTAAGCAGTAGATAGAGCATTTTAGATTTCACAACACCACCAATTATTGGATATACAGGGTCCAGAACCTCCAAAAAACCCACTCCAGTAGCTCCATAGAAAGACTTCACTACTGGAAGTAAAACTGAACTGATCCGTCTCTCTCTCCACCCTTCTGAAATGGTGCCGTTTGCTAAAGCAAAAAGTGGTACCTCCGCTTCTCTTGCTGAGTACTCATCTTAATGCCAACCAGACCCAGTATTTAGAGGGCATTGAAACACTGAAAACAGTGTCCACTAGATCAAGTTGGATTTCCAAACTGTAAGGCTTTTCCAAAACCCCTGTTTTCACTGGAAACGTAAATCCTTTGTTAGGTAAAGTTTTGTCCCTACTATTCCTCTTCCCCTTGAAAAACAATTTCTACTTGCAAGATGAAAAAAAGTTCTAAAAGAGAACACTAAGTCTTGATTTTTCCATGCAATTGGCCTTTGAGGAGCCTGTCAGTACCTCGAGGCTGCTCAGTCAAGGCTTTCTCACCATGACTGCCACAATTAATCTGAAGTTCTGCCCACTTCCTTAGCTGAAAGTGCACTCAAAGGCACACCCCGTGTCATAGTCCTTTTCTTACTAAGCTCAGTGAACAACATCTGGAAAGCAAATGAAAAAGCAGCGTTAAACTGGCTCTCCCTCACCCAAACTATACAAGAAAACAAGCCAGGGAAATTCCCAACATATTTTTGTTTCTGCTTATAATCTCAGCATTTAGGTATTTTAATATTGATCAGAGAGTATGCCTGCAGGGTAAGATGTGCTCTTTGGAGTTTAAACCTTGTAGTAAAGCGTCCAAGCGGTTTAGTTTATGTAACATCCAAGTTTTCATCACACTGTTCTTATTCCAGAGTTCTTTAGAAATTCCCATTGTATGTTTGCAGAAAGGTAACATTTAGATATTTAAGAGCAACGCCATCCTTCTTCATAAAAATAAGTAATTATTGTACTTAATCTTCATTCACTCACTTATAAAACATTCTTAAATACTCTTTTCTCTAAGTAAAAGGGTTATAGCAAAACAAAAAAAAACAACTCCAATGTATGTGGCAAAGCAAACTTCCACAAGCATTTCAGTTGCTCCTTCTTTAAGGAGTATTTGGGGATCTGCGGATTTCAGAACAACAAAACATAATTACAGGCAGCACCAGAAAGCAGTGCTACAGATAATGATGCCAGATCAGCTATCTGGTTAAAAAACAGACCTAATAATCCACTGTTGAAAGTCTTAAACTCCAGACGGGCTTTTCAGTGTTTAAGGAAGAAATGGTTTCCATTTCACAAGCAATGCCAGCTTGTAACTCTGTAAGCACGCTTTGGAAATCAAACTTGTCTGGATGCAACTTCAAGACACTTGATCTAACTTTGAAGATGGATCTGCTCTGATCAAGGGACTGGACCTCCACGGGTCCTTTTCAGCCTGAAGTGATTCTTCAAATCGGTGCTGCAAGCCACAGAAGTCATACTTGCATTCAGAGCCTGTAGCCTCATGGCTGGATGCTCCAGTGTCAGCGCAGCAGGAAGTGGCATTGTCCTGCAGGCTCCTTCCTTGGCACTCTGTCCTACATCTACAATGACCACACTCAAACTAGAGTTTTTCAAAAGATCACCAGCAGCCTCTTTTCTTAACGTTATTGCCTGCTTTCATTAACCCTAATATTTAGTACCTTCATAAGAACTGTCTTGATGACCCTTGTAAAAAAAAGCTCTCAAAATCAGTCAGTATTTTCCAAAGATACTAGTGAGGCCATGTCAGACAAACAGATAGGCAGCCCAGCCACGTACACTTCATTTCCTTAGGGAACATTTGGGATCCCCATTCTCTAAGTGACAAGTGCTTGAAAACCAAAGGAATTCTCTTGTTCTGAGCAAAAATAATGAAGAAGGAGTTTTCTGAAAATGCAGGAGTAAAATAGGATCCTATATACACACAGTGCTGAGCCTATACTTCACTTTCTTTAAAAAAGAAACATTCTACTTCAGCAAGGCATTTTCCATAATTACAACAGCAGAGGGGATTTCCCCTGCCACATTGCTGAATGTGAGAAGCCCTTGATAAATGAAGGCTGTGTGCCAGGCAAAGTTCTCTTCATTTCACCCACCACTCTTCCCTCCAGCAGAGGTACAAGTCCCTGCATCCCCTCCTGAACTCAGTTCTGTCCCTCCAAGACTAAGCTTTAACCTGAAAGAAGAGCTGGGTCAAGTCTGTCTTGAGAACCGCCCTCAGAAAGGGAAGGGCTAGGAGGAGCAGGATTTTTCCTCCTTTTCCTCATTCAGTCTTTTTCTGCCCAGTACAAACACTTTGAAACAAGCAAGTGACCTTCTCTTTTGCTGCCCAACACTGCCAGCACAATTCTTTACTGCCTCTCAGAGACACTAATATCGATGACAGGAAGGATAATACCGTGCACAAATAACTCTAAGCTTTGCAATCACTTCTTACAGCCACTTCTGTTGCCAGTTCAAGATGAGAGAGCCACAAGGAAATAAAATAAGCCAAACCTGACCTGATTCCTTTGTGCAATCTTCTGTCCTTTCTTCCAACGGAGAACGGGCTTCAGAGGAGGCAGCTCCTTGTCCTCTTTTCCTCTTTCTATTACATGTTCCCCAAGGCTGTATGAAGCTTCAAATACAATTGGAGATATGACATCTTTGACTCTCCTCTGTAAAAGGAAACAAACAGAGATACTACCGTTACATACAGGTAGGCAGGTATTTATACACAACAGTGGTAAGCACAATTAAAGCATAAGTTGTTTTCAACACTGCAGACATGAAGCAGGCCTCTATATTCCCTTTGGTCTTCTTACTGCTGAACTGGAAAAAAACTTTTGTCACAGCAAAAGAAGTCAGATCAAAAAACAGTTAACAAGAAGTGAGTTATTCTTCTAGCACTCTTGGTTTCACTGGAATCCTTGGCACATTTTCCATACCTGTAAACCAAATCTTTCTAATTAAAACCCGAATATTTTCCATTAGGAGTACAAAATTGGAAGCAAAGGGTGTATTTTCTCTAGGGTTTCTAAATTCTAGGCTTTGATTCAGGTCACTTCCAGTGTGTTCCACCTACTTAAAAAAAAAAAAAAAGAAGTCAAAACTCCATCTCGAGTGTTGCACTTGTTAAAAATATTATTATCAATTAAATGAATGAATGGATAAAGTTACCAGCGTGGCTGTAAAAACAAGGCTACAGACATGCAGGGGCGAGGAAAGCCACCTGCCAGCGCTGTTCTGAAAGCAAAACTCATAGCACCCACCACCCTAAGAGCAGTAACACCTGCATAAAATAAAGCTTTTCTACCTTTTTAATCACTATATTGTAGGCTTAACATCAGATGTACTAGATAGTGCCGCATTATTTGTTTGATAGGATGAATCTTGATTATTATTATTACCTTCTCTTGTTGCTTGAGCCCAAGCCACAAAACTCATACCATTTATTAACACAAGCGAAGCCTGAAGCCTGTCTTCTGTGAGAGGATAAAATGCTCACTGTGTTCTTTTTAGACTTGACTTCCAAAATCCAATTTACCAGAAAATGGAAGTGGCAGACATCCTACTTTTCCACAAGCAAACATCCCTCTCAAATTTTATCTACTTAAAAAATTGTGTGTGAATTCAATGCAGATGAAACTGAGAAGATAAGAAGATAACCAAAGACAACAGATCTTCAAATGGACCAGCACTCAACTAGACTCTGTACTGCACCAGGGGATGGGACATCCACTTCTTCAGCCCCTTCCTGGGGCAGGAGGTGTAACACAGAAATAGCAATGCTAAAATTCACATAAGCTACTAGCTTTGTCTCACAGAAAATCACGTGCAATGACTTCAGCGAGAACAGTATCAGCATACAAGGATACTCAAAAACAAGACCACTAAAAGCATAGCATGAGGCAGCAGTGAAACAACAAATCATCGGGCAGATCACCACCCAATCCAACTGTTTGCAGCCAACTATGTCTGCGAAGAACAACTGAAAGTGGGTGCAATTAAAACCCACCTACAGTTTTTTTTCTAGCTCTGGTACTGCAGTATGGCAACAATAAGTGCTTACAATTCCTAAGTGTTTTAACACGACCTGGGAGGGCTCAGTCCAATCCCCTTTGAAGTCAAAAGACAAGTTTCCCATTGACTTCAATGAATGCAGGAGCGTGCCCATATTGTTTGCTGGTGTCTCTTGCCTTTTCATTTTAGTGCTGAAATTGTGACTTCCAGCAGCTAGATTAATTACATGTGTGGATATTCCTTCACCACACTTGTCTTTAATTAAGGATGAAAGTATGAATGCTGCCCAGTTACTAATTGTGCCACATGTTCAGTTTCTTCTGCTCACAATCTTAAAACATGAAGACAACATTACGTGGGATTTCTCCTCAGTAAGACAGACACAGACAGTTCTGTCTCGCAGGTACACCACAGACCATCTGGGAAGCAAGTACAAAATGAGAACACTGAATATTTGCCCAAATGCAATCTGGAGAAGCATTATTTTAAGCTGGAAATACACACTGTTTCTTCCTCATACAGCCTACCCGAATGTACTACTTCCAGCAGTCAAACCAGGTGGTGCTGCCCATGTATCACCTTCAGGTATTTCTGATTTCTAGAAGGTAAAAGATGCAATGACAAACAGTTTCGAGATAAACTGAAAAATTCTTCCAATCAAGGAAAGTATAACTTGCTTTTTCTATCGAAAAAGCCCTATTTGAGTGGATTTGCCAAGGGGGATAATTTCTACAAGCAGCTTTTACATATATTTACACTTTTTCACTAGGCTGAGAAAGTGTTGAAGGTTAATGACATTTCTGCAACGTGAAAAAGAATCCCTGGCAAATCACAGCACATGGACAGCACAGCTTTTTTTTTTTAGCAGCAAAGATGCCTGGAGCACATCAAAACTAGCATGCTACTCGAGGAGTTCATATTATCAACAGAAGCAGCCATGTAACAAGTGTTCAATGCCTAACAGTAACAAATAACTAGATGTCACTGAACTGCTGCAAGTTTTTTCATGGTACTTGAATTGGATCAGGGGCCTGAAGGTGGGTTTTCTACAAGCCATCAGTTATGCCATGTAGCTTTCCTGTTCTCACAAAGCCATTTCTCTAGGGTGTTGCTATTTTCCTCTCTCAGCAAACTGTCCTGTCCAGTGCAACTTCCTGCAATGCAAATGTCCCTAGCCAGCCTTCCTCTGGAAGGCTGTATTCCTTCCTCTGGATGCTCTACCTTCCCCTCTGAGGTTGCATGACATCACCCTGAGGTGATGAAAAAAGTGTTTAGGTATGAACTGTTGGTTTTTTTAACCAGGGTGCTTCCTCGTTATTACCAAGCGAGGATGTAACCCTAAGAAAGGAACACTCAAGAGCATGTACAACAGCAGTAAGTTGCTTACAGAAATTGCAAAAGACACTGTGGTCCTGGGCACTCACCCTAACAAAGAGCAGGCCTGCCATCTCACCACCCAGAATAAAGACACTTTTTTTTTTTTATAATGCTAGGCTAGAAGCTGGGCACAGCATCTTCATTTTCTCTTCTGGCTTAGCAGGGGAGAAAAAAGCAACCAAGCAAACCAGCCGCTGCCAGATTTCTGACTGCATTTCTGTCTGGCTTTAGTAACAAGTCTGAAAAATCTGAAAAAGAATCACAGTGCAACTATCAAATATCATAGTTCTGATCCTGAACAGCATTTCTGATTCCCTCTCTACAGCGGAGGATGATGACTGTAGGAAATTTCTGCACAGTTTGTGGGCACAGAATAAGGCACACAGTGACAACACAAACACAGGCACTGATTCCAGCCTCCTAAAGGCCGTCTTCTCCAACCTTAACTTTGTGCTACCAAGAGCCCACACGCATCAGAAAGTCAGGAAAACGTGGATGGAACAGGACAGGGCTTTGTTATGGCGGATAGGATTTGCTCTTCTCACGGTGTGAGCAGCTGCCAGAGAAGACTGGATACCATTTCAGCTTTCTTTAGGCTCAATGCCACAGTACAGCCAGGGGACTACGCACGAGCCCAGTAAATCATCACATCTAATCCCCTTTTCTCCTACAAGGTAAAAGTCTCCAGCAGGGGCTCTGGAGACTGCCAAATTCCATTTTTAATTATGGCCAATGGGCTGAAAAACAAATTGAGATGTAAATAATCTTTACAATCTACCGCAAGAGTCCTGCAGGATGAAAGGTTGAAACATGGCCCTTTTACAGCAGCAAAACATTAAGTGAGAATGAAGTCATTTTCAACAGTGTTGAATGAGAAAATATATGTAGTCAATAGGATGGTTTCCGTGATTGCCCCTGACTTATCCTGGTTTGCATGTTTTGAGGGCTTCAATTCTTATTCTTCTTGGGAAAGTTACATTCTATCAGGCCTTTTTTCTACTCTGACATGATCTTGAGGACATCAACCCATGTAAAGTTTCAGAGCTTTCAGTTAAATCTGTACAGCTTTTCAGTATTCTGAGAATTCAGCTTTGTTTAGCTTAATGACTAAGAACAAATTTGAGTGTGTCTTTTAAAATACTCAACTTGAACATTATAGTCTAAACACGTTCAAGTTTTAAACAAGCACTAATAGTAAACCGTAAGCATTTTTAAAGGCTTAAAACATACAAAATAGATTTTAAAAAACCTAGTTTAGTAGATAACATATTAATGCCATAAAATATATAAAGCCATCATGCTAATGCTGGGCTAGCATTAGCATGATAGCTAATCACACTTCAGTCAAGTCACAGGTCACTAACACCCATGTCCTCAACTCAATGCCAAGGGATAAATTGTTCCCTGCTCAGTGACTTTAACAATGACTCAAGCCCCCACCAGTCTTTGGAACTAAAGGCCACTACTTTCACAATTTATCATATGGAATATCAGCTGTAGATCTTAATAACTATACACAATGGTTCATTAACCAATCAAGATTATAGTGCGTGACTTCCAAATGAATTACATTCTCCTATTATCTCAGCCTCCCTCTCTAAGTTGTGAGTCATATAGGAGACGAGATTTTGGAGCTATGCAATACAATAAAAACAGCAGACAAATTGGCTTTAAACTGGAAGACAGGCTTCCATTCATTCCAGACAAATGAAAGCGTAGGTCTCATTCTTGTACCTGAACATGAATGAGGAGTAACTTGCTCATCCTGTTCCTCACAATACTTAAAACAAATCTAAACTGTGGCCAAGTTTTAGACCCCTCAGGTTACCAATTTCTAGTGCATGAGCCAAGTTTCTACTCTCAACCTGTTACTAATCCTGTGCAACACAAAACCCGCCTCTGTTCTCAGGAGAGCCTTCCTGCATTTACTTCGATAAAGACATTCTAGGACTTGAAATAATTTGTTTCAGATTGATGTAATTTTAGCATTTGTATCTCCCCATTGCAAAGTCAAACAGAAAATGGTCATGTGAAAGTAATCTTGAAGAGATCTAGTTTCCATTCTGTACACAACATGCACACACAGAGTATATTTTAGTCATTGCCTGTAGTTAAAGGAGGAAAATCACAATTGCCAAGTCTATTTCAGAGATGAGACAGAACTAGAAGATTACTTGGTTGGTAAAAGCTCGTTTACAACATCACTGGTGAAATTTTGTGAAATTAATAGCATATGAAGGCAATTAGAGGCCTAACGCTTCAATAATCCATGCTTCTG